TGAGAGTGTTTGGAAAACTATCTAGATGTGATATATCTTTGGTTTGGCTGCATGTTTTGGCAACATTGAGAATGCGAGCATATTTTGTTCGGCAATTCCTAGTGTAAAAGCGGGCGTGCGGCGTTATGCGATCTTCCCCCCCACGGGCTGTCACAGGTCAATTGTTGAGACAGAGGCAGCATCTCACCACGCGCGCGAATCGAGGGAACCTCATCATGAGGCTTTTCCAAAACTGGGTGGTCTCTCCACGTCCAAAACTGGACAAGGAGAAGTTTTGAGCAGCTAGATAGGGGTTTTGACACATTGTGCGACGCCAAGACTAGCAAGCCCTAATTCAATCACTACAGCCTTGGGAGCAGTGGTGTTAAAGCAAATTGTATGATCTGACACCTACTCGAATAAGTTTCAGTGTGAACATTGGACCTGTTGCAAACTTTTGCGAGAGCAAAAATAAGAGTTATCCTTGTAGATAATGTCTCAAAAATCATGATGGAAACCAATTTGATCAGGAGACAGCTCCAGACCAGCTAATAGGCAACACTATATGATGCATTCATAAATCTTAACTATACTGTTAATCATACAAACAGGTCTGCATTTACGAATTTTTGGGTTGTCTCCTTCGGTTATTAATGCTAATTTTGCCGATTTCCATAATTCTGAGAATTCTCCTGTTGTTATTAATTTATTTATGATTTTTGTTAAAGCTTTGATATGAGAATCAACAAATATTTTTGCAAGTGGTAGGATTATTTCACCTGAGCCTGGAGCCTCCCTGACTCTCAATCTAGCCTCAGTCCTCCTCTGCCATGCTAAGCAAGAATGCCGTAAATCCATCAAGATTTTCCCGCAGTTTTTGGAACTTAACACTTTGTAAAATAAAAACTGTTTCACTCGTGCACCTCAAATTTTCAAGTAAAGTTCTTGATAGTATTTGCGAAAGAGTTCTGTGAAAACGTTGTCCCAAGGCACACAAGTTTTTCTGCTATGATACATTGTTTCCAAAAAAGTTAAATGAGCTTGTTAACCTGTTTCTAATTCTTGCCTTTTCAGAAACTGCATTGTCTCCTGATCACGCAGTAATTTTTTCAGATTTTTTCGAGCCGTTTTTCCCTCCGAAATCGACTTTTGAAGTTCGAAATTTTAAAATGCCGCGTTTGCCCGCGCTTTAGCGGCAATTCAATATGGCGCCGGAATTACCCCCTGGCTTTCTTGCCACACATTCGACGGGGCGCCGTCAGCGGGACCTCTACGCGTTCGAATATCGAGGCTAATCAAAACAACCAACTGGCTGTTATCAATTTCATCTTTTGACAAAGATTTCTCTAGTTTTTGGCATATTTTCTGAACTGTTTTTCGTTCGACTAAAATATCTAACCCTGCTTTACGAATATCTCGACCTGCAATCTCCTTGGAACGTTGGAAAATCCGAAAATATTGACCAAATTTGTGCTAGTTTACTTAGTCATTTCAGTACACTGAGATACTGAGTTTCCATGGTAGTGAAGTGAATTTGGGAATAATTCTTCTTGAAAATGTAGAGTGCATATGTTTTGGCAATAGTTTTTGCTTAAACTTCAGAAACAACAACAGATCGGCCGGTCAAATCCTGACACTGTTACTGACCATGCCGAAGCTTCATGATGCGAAGCCTTGTGCTTTGTTTCGGGAAGTAAATATTTTGGAGAAAACTTCCTACTTCTCATTTACAGCAATCTAAATAGAATCAGTAATCGAATGTCCTTCCCTCAATGGCTCTCTTTAAAGAAATATCCACAATATATTACATGTAGGTATCACTTGTTAACTCTTAGGAAGCCACCCAAGAATAAATGGACTGCATTTTGCAAAAAGGAACCAAGAGCATTGCAATGTTGCTAAGATTGTGCAACTTCTTTTGTCTTGGAAGAAAAACCTGGCCACCTATAAACATTTTCTATTTCACACGCTAAAAACTGTAAACTTGAGACAAAAATTACCATGTAAATTTCATATTATTGCATGATTACAGTAGTTTAATTGCAAAGGGTGAAGTCGCTCAATTCTAGCAACATGGCAATGATCCTGGTTCCTTTTAGCAAAATGCAATCCAAATAGCCTTCGACAATTTTCTATTCTGGGACCGTAAACTTATTAAACTGTTCAGTGTTCCATAATTATTAACAGGTATATTGTGAATTGCTAGTGTGTGCCATTCTTTGATAGTTTGTCTCAATGCGAGATATAACATCCGTGATTTAATCTCAATTTCTCATCCACTCATTTTCTACGTAATCACATCCTCCACATGACTTTGATTCACTTTGAATCTGATTTTTTTTTGGTAAATAATGGCTCACTATGCTGAGCGTTTTACCAGAAAGTCTTCTTTAAGTTACATTCTTCGACATGGAACTACATACAAGTTTTGTGAAGATGCATGCCCTGACTCTGAATAAATGGATGTTATTAAAAATCCTGAAGATGAAAGGTGAGTAGCTAACTACTTTGTAAGTTCCCTTCTCAATTTCGATTACCTAAGTATATGGTTTCTAATGGCGGATAGTAAAAGTCGTCCAGAAAGTAAGTTTACCTGTTAAATACTTCCTAAACGAAGATAGGTAGAGACAATCTGTAATAAGCTTTGAAAAGTCACTACCCTGGTTCTCTAATACGCTGTAGATTTTTAAATTTGGCTTGATAGAACTCTAGAAAAGTGGGATTTTCTGAACCCACCTCCTCTCCGCACGGGTTCAAAATTAGCGATAGACACAGTGGCTAATTTGCGAATGAGGCTCTGTAAAATTTTGGACCTGTGCGGAGAGGAGGTGGATTCAGGAAAAGCCACTTTTCTAGAGTTCTATCAAGCCAAATTTAAAAATCTATGGCGCGTTAGAGAACCCAGAGTGGTGGCTTTTCTAAAGTTTATTACAGATTTTCTCGAAGTACCTATCTCAGTTTAGGAGATATTGAACAGGTAAACTCATCTCTGGACAATCCTCGTAGTTGTTCTTCCCTCTTTCTTGCAAATTATTTATTGAAATGAAATACATAAGGCTCTTTATCATTGAAATATCACTATGGAAAAGCAACTGAGTTTAAAGACTGAGACAAAAAAAGATAATGGTGACAGTAAAATGAGGTGAGAAAATCTACCAACTGGAGGCATCCACTTCAAAATATTGCTATCACATGAATTTTTTGGCTGGAGTCTAGCGCATCCATCTGCGCATAATTGATTTTAAGGGTTTCCATGGGTGTACTGAAGGAAAATCTAGACAAATTTTCTTCGACTTATAATTTGATCAGTACCTAGACATTTCTGCTGTGAAATGGAGACCTCAGGTTTCCATGTCAATCCAGTGATAAGAGAATACCTTGGTGTGCCTTCGGAATAACACTTGCTACATTTTTTGTGATTTTCAATTACTGGATATTACATTCATTGCACACCGCAAACATTTTTTATTAGAAAACTACATATGTTCCAAAGAATTTAAAACAAGTCATGTGCATGTTGGAGTAAATTTACTTCCGTTCTAGTTTGAACATTATTGGTACGTACCTTTCAATTTCAGGATTTAACGGCTTTTGCCGAAGGGTCTGTTGGTGCCGGCACACACAGTTCCAGGGTAGAGTGGAGATCCATGTCGAAGGAAATTCCTTTGAACTGATTTTTTAGTAAATAAATGCTCAGATAACTGAAGCATAATTTACTGCACTATCAGACTTCAAAGGGAGTTGGTCATGAGGAAGTATTCACAACAGCAAAGGAAAGAATATGTGGATATACAAGTAGAAGTACTTAATGAGCAAATATACAGATTACTGACTTTAACACTCGCAAGAAAGGAGCAAAAATCTTAGAGTAAGTGCTTGGTATCAGATGTTCTAGCAGCATAAAGCCCGTCCAATGTGAAGATTGTTTGATTACCCAATGGTTGCAAGTGCAAGAATCTATGTATGACCGCAGAAAATGTATCATTAGAAGAACACTTATAAGTATATTTTGACTAACACAAACACTGTAAAAATCGTGTGCAATGTTAACCCCAACACCGAAAACACGGTGATTTCAACTGAAAAACCAAGCCTTTAGATACTTAAGTAATAGGGACACACACATATAACTAACACGGTTTTGGAAGCTATTTCCAGATTTTCCAACGTTCCAAGGAGATTGCAGGTCGAGATATTCGTAAAGCAGGGTTAGATATTTTAGTCGAACGAAAAACAGTTAAGAAAATATGCCAAAAACTAGAGAAATCTTTGTCAAAAGATGAAATTGATAACAGCCAGTGCCAGTTGGTTGTTTTGATTAGCCTCGATATTCGAACGCGTAGAGGTCTCGCTGACGGCGCCCGGTCGAATGTGTGGCAAGAAAGCCAGGGGGTAATTCCGGCGCCATATTGAATTGCCGCTAAAGCGCGGGCAAACGCGGCATTTTAAAATTTCGAACTTCAAAAGTCGATTTCGGAGGGAAAAACGGCTCGAAAAAATCTGAAACAATTACTGCGTGATCAAGAGACAATGCAGTTTCTGAAAATGTAAGAATTAGAAACAGGTTAACAAGCTCATTGGCGTTTACGGCGTTTTTGTGTTGCATGGCAGTCCTCATTTAGTCCTCAGTTACCTTTGGAGCCTCTTACTCCAAGAACAGAGTAGGAGTCCAAAGTTGGTTTCTGTGATCTAGAAAAAGGTTGTACACAGTTTGGAGAATTTCTCTTTCCATAAGACTGGATTCAGTATATTTATTGGAGTTTTTTATACTTTTTCTAATTAAGGAAAACCCAGCTACACGAGCATTGCAACATTTGAGAAAGCCCCCTACCTGCAAAAGTCTCTCATGTACTATTACCTTTTCTAGCCTCCATTTACAACATGGCTTGAACGTCAAATTCTGCTCTAACCATTCTCGAGTAGGATCTAATAATGAACTAGCATTGATTAGTGTAGGCTTTTTCTACATCCAATGAAAATTTTTTCCACAAAGAAAAAGAAAGAAAACAAAAGCAGCTCACCAGTAGCGCGGATAAAGTTTTTCAACTCTACAGGGAAGTCCGAGGCAGAAAAATAGTCTGATTCACTAAGGGTGATCAAAGTTTTAGATGGGCTCCAGAACTGCGACTCAGGATGGAGACCTTCTTTCAAGGCTGTTGCAACTCCAGTCCTGAAGAGCTCCTGAAGTTTGGGAGAGATGCAATTCTTTTCATATAAGATCTGGAAAAATTAGCAATTCATGATACAGAAAGACGAAGGACCAAAGGGTCAACAGTGCATTACAAAAAGCTAACTTTTTGGTTTTTAAAGTACCCTCAGCCCTCTGTAAAACTGCATAATGCTGTGCTGTATTCCTTAAAATTACATAATGCTCACACAGAAACCTTTTTCCTGTTCCTCCTTCAAAGATGGTGGCACTTTGTGTGGTGTCTGGCGTATTTGCTCCTGCTATGCATCTTACTAGGGCATTCAGGGGTTCGGATTACCAAATGATTATAGTTGAGATCATGTAAATCTGGGAATGTACAGTTCCTTAATATATTACCGGCTTAAATATTAAAAAAAACCACATTCGAACGTACGGTAAGGTGGGCTAGAAATCCATTAAAATCCGGTTATCAGCCTATAAGAACTTGAATGTCTAACAATATACATGCAGTTGCCTTAGCACAAGTTTTTCTCATCATCTCTGTAATTATGTAAATGAATAATTCACAAAAGTACCCTACCACAGCGATCTCAGCAAAAGATTTGCCATTTTCGGGTAACATCATTTGAGTGTATCTTTCCTAAATTGGCTTTCTAACAATAATTCTATAAGTTGTAAATTTGTCTTGGTATTGCGATTGCAAGGTAAACAGGTGACAAATTTACCTGATTTGATTTGATGCATGTGCAAGAGCATTGTCGTGATACAAGACCCAGAAATTTTGAGCCCAAAGTTCAGGCTTCAATTTGCAAACATATTCACATAATCTACGTGGCACATCGTTTTAAAATAATGGTTCACAAAACTTAATGTTGTATCTTTGCTCTGAAAGATACTGTATGATGATAATTGTGAAACTTACTCCGGCTAGTCCTGTCGCCAAATGATTACTAATTAAGATAAAATCTGTGAATGTGGTGTTTTTCATTGTGTTGTCAGCTTTTAGGAAAATTCAAGAAAACCAAATTTGGAAGCATGGAGGGCCAGTTAAAACGAAAATCCGGGTCCTAATCTAAATTAAAAATTGTGAAACAGAGACCAAGAGGAACTTTAACTTTGAGTCTTCAAATCATAAAGAAATTTTTTGAGGACCGACGGACCGATATAATTAAGGTTCCATGTTCTAAAAGCGCATTTAAATAAAACAAAGAAAGAAGTTCTTATGAGCAGACCAAAATATAAAAAATAAAATCTTCTTTTATTCAACATACTTGGGTAGGAGGATGATGTGCAATCAAAGTCCTCAATCGAGAACAATGACGATCATCTGGAAATTGACCAATGTGGAAGGTACCGATTGAAGTATCAACAAAGCAAACTCCATACACAAAATTATGACGATCTTCTTCCTGAAAAAAGAACATCAAAGATTATTAAATTAGAAATCTTCCAGCCTCGCACTTGAACAGACAAGAGGAAAAAAACCAGGGGCTTTGAGGGTAACAGTTTGAAGAGGTATCCATTGGGACCCTTCTGGGCGAAAAACCTTGAAGTCAACAATAGTGATAACAAACAACCACAGGCAACTGATCAGAGACAACCATGTTCACAATTGGCGACTTTCTGGTGTGCTACCAGTGTATTCGCTGATAAATTAGAGAAACCCCTGGTTGCCTTGTTTATTTCTTACAGTTCCATTTGACTTTGACAGCAGGCTCCTTGATACATTGCCGCAGAACAGCAGAATGATGAACCGGAATTGCTGAGTCAGAATGCAATGCATGACGGGTAATTCAAACACTCCCCACCGACAACTGTAAAGAAAAAGGAATCTTTTCGTACTTTTTTTTCTTTATGAGGAATTAATTGCAGGCTTGCAAGAATGAATTCCCTGACTTTTCCCGGTTTTCCAAATTGCTGGGAACACTACACTTCTGAATTAATGGCCCCTAAAAAGAAAAAAATTGTTGATTCTTTCATGTTATTCTATTAAACTCTACGTACAGAACTATCGTACTTTTAAAAGAAGCACTTGGTAATGAGGTCAATTCTTACTTTTTCGACGATGGCCAACAAATAGCGGTTACCGGCTTCTTTGCATTCCCCGTCCAGAACACTGAAAATTCGAGTCCCAGGAGTTGTTATTTGGCAAATTTCTCTCTTGACAACTTTGTCAAACTTGGTTGGTTTGATCACTGAGCAAAAAATGAGAACAATAATTTTAAAAAAAAAATATTAAAAAAAACAGCTATTACCTTAGAAGAGGAAAGATTATTTCAGAAGGTGAAAAAAAAGGTTAGGACAACCTTAATTTTTTGTGAATGAATGCAAATCAGGAGCACAAATAACCTTCATCCTTATGTCTGAGAGGCAAATCACTTTATCACACGCCATCATGCTCCGCCTTCAGCATGAAAAGAAGCAAGGTCAATTTCTTCCGTTTGAATACTGTTTACTGACGAAAAATTTTGAATAAACTCATTGAACTCCCACGTTAAGTCTAAGTGAGGAACGACAAGAAAACAGATATGGCATGGCGCTTTAAATGAAGAGACAGTTCAGGAAAGTAATAGCTGTCCTTGGGTATTTTGAAGGATAATTCCATACTGAATTATCTGATGATGTCATAATGGTGAGCCACTCGAAACTAGTTAGTAATCAGTACTATTAACAGGGATGCAGAGAATTCCAACCCTTCTCCCAATTTCAGTCAGTTTCCCCCCTCTTTCGATGATTAATTTCCTTTAGGATAAAATAGGAAAAAAAGAAACCTCCTGCCCCATAAATTGAAAATATGGCCTATTTTATTTACCAAGATCTCACGCTCATATGCTCACTTGCAGCAACTAGTGATTTCAACAGGAAGTTTGACGATATATTTTGTTTTCCAAGAATGAGCCCCAAAATACCTCCATTTTACCTCATATAAGAAAAAACATCAACGTCTTATCGTGAAGTAAATGTACACACTTAGGCAATGTTGCTCTAGAAATTCCATTTATGCTTTAAATAGTGCTCATGGTGTCACTATACCATGGTGATATTCAGCAATCAGAATGGAAGGAATGCTTTAAGAATTACGTTTTTCGAGCATTCACTTCAGAATATCTTTAATTTTTGTAAGAAATGAAAATAAACTTGGCAGCATTGCTTTTGAAATTCGATTTCCTACATACACATCGATTATTTACTATCGTATAGTAATTTTTAGCCCATACACGTCAAAGTAATGGCCCATGAAGAAACGTTTTCCGCCAAAAAACTCAAAAACACCCCCATTTTATTTTGAAAAATTGGCAACACTGCTTCGAAAAGTTCAACATGGCCTTTGATTGCAATTCTACAATTAGTGGGGCCGATAAGCGGAACAATCGTGCACTTCTGGGAGAAAGCATGAAAATTTCAGGGATTTATCTCTACCCTATAGGCATTCGATTTAGACGTAGACCCCAAAAATCTGAGCCCCCTGGGGGGGGGGGGCAGGGGGCCCCCAAAATTTTGAATTTTGAATAACTACTGAATGGCTAATGTTGGCGTAATTTTTTTACAGCAAGACGATGGGAAATTTTATTAAGAACAAAGGTAGTACTTATGAATTTTTCTATGGGATCGATATTTAAGGCGTGAAACGGGAAAACCATCGGGGGACGGGGAGCCGGCCGTTCTGAGGCAGATCTGCGCGCTGCGCTGCCTGCCCGGGACGCGCGCGGCGGCGCAGTACGGTGTTACCGACGAAACAGCCGCTTGTCTTTGTTTAATCTCACCGATGCGCAGTTTTGAAAATATTATGAATATATCGTACTACCAATGAGGCCTTAAAATAGGGCTTAACTTTTGCAGGTAATACAAAATACATGTATACAAGCGAGCGCACGGCAACAGAAGAAGAAGGGGTTAAGTGCTGGAGTTCCGGATTGTTTTGTTGTATGGGTTTGTCAAGTTTTATTAAAGCATCCAAGATAACTGTATCAGACTAAATCAGTTGAACGAAATAAATCTGATGCACAATTGTCTCGGAGAGGGGGGCGGGGTAAAGTCACAAATCTTATTTGTATACCAAGGTGACCTGAAAAATGATATTAAAGTGTTTTTTCCCCCTCTTTTTCTGCGTTACCAGAATGGTATCTATATATGCTTAAAGTTCCCTGGTGACGGCTTCCAGCCAGACTTTTAAGACAGGGAACCTAATTTTGTAAAAATTGAGTATGCATGAAAACATGCGTATTCTCCTCTCTTTGAGGAACATGTTGGTACATCATTGCTACGTTTAGGCATTTTTTTAAGAGGACCGGAACCACCTTCAAAATTTGCTCCAAAAAAACGTCAGAGGAATCGTGAGAAAGCTTGATAGGGATATAAAAGACCCCCAAAAAACCTTTGTTGAACTGCTTCTTGTACAGTACAAAGAACATTATTGAGTAATAATTATACCTGGCAATATCTGCTATCTGTAAAAACGGTTCATTTGAGTGATAGGAAGTCGCGCCTGCTGGGAACCTATCCTGCTCTTATGTCATCAATTAAATCTATTTATTAAATCTATAATTGAGGACACCGCACCAAGAACCGCCTATAGGCGTATAGGTCGTTATTACGCCCATCTGCTTTTCGGATTCTACGTACCTTGGACTATGCTGTGGTAGCGATAGAATATAGATAGGTAACGGCTCGAGGTCGAAAAACCTTTTTTTTCCGAGTTAAGTCAGGCCTCTGGATCGATGGGTGCAAGAACGACCTATAAACGGGCCTATAAACTTAAGGGCCTATAAGGTGCTAGTTACCCCTTTCTTCACTCACTATCGATATTCTTTCATTTTGCGTTAATCATGCGTGATTAAAATGATTTATACTTCATATTGCCACCAAAATGACTGTTGGGCGTAATAATGACCTATAAACCGCTTTTTTAAAATAAATATATTAGAGTGTAAACCCAAAATGTATCGCAAAATCTACCCGGCATCCTTCAATAGAAGGGTTAGGTCGCCCAAAAATACCAAAACAGGGTACCTGCTTAGAAAAGTCTGCGCAGCACATCAAAAACAAAACTTTAAATGCGTTTTTTTCAAAACGCGGTTTCCAGTTATAGGCTGTTCTTGGTGCGGTGTCCTCAATTAACCTTTTCATAATCAATAAAGGTAATTCGATCAGTGTTATACTGTACAATAAAAAGAAGGTGTACGTTTTGTGCATTGCATATTTTGCAAGTCCCGTTTCTTGAAAATTGTCTCCGACATACTTACCTAGAACTCTTCCATGCGCTCCATACAAATCCAAAATCGGTACAAGATTTGCGGGTTGAAAAAGAAGAAATGCCAAGAATTTCTTCCTGAGATACTGGTCCTTCTAACAGGTTCTTTAAAGGATCAAAACCTGCATGATAAATAAATTTTCTCCTATATTAATATTTTTTTCAATACAAACGTTACCAACTCCACTCCAAACTCTATAGAACAAAATGAAAGATAATATACATGGATTTTTTTTACTGGTGATTCCATTTTTTATGTCTCGTGGTAAGTACCGATAATATCTTGAAGGGTGACTCGATAAAAAAAAGCGATAGTATGCAGATATCTTCTTTTTATTATTCATTTATTTGATATATTGTTCTATTTTTTGAAAGATGCATATTTGTTGAATAACTGAAAGAGTGGGGAGTTCATGAAAATGGAAACTTCTATTGACTGGCTGAGGGAAAAAAGAGGAGAGAAGAACATTGTCGGAATGTTCCATATGTATCAGTACCTATGCAATTGTGAGAAACCAATTAACATGTACGAAAAACGATATTAGAGGAAAATGAAGGAAATCTGGTAACCTTAGTGGCGGAGGGACTGTGAAGACCCCCCCCCCCCTTACTTCTCAAGTAATATCTTTGCGTCAAGTTTTGCAAAATTATTGCTTATCTAAGCAGCTCATGGTCCCATTTGCCGAAAGTAACATGAAAAATAAGTTATCAAGGATCCACCATTTCCAATAGTCATAAAAAAGTGGGGTCAATATCGTATTAAAACTTGCTTTTTCGCTCTAATATCTTAAAAAAATGTAATCCTTTACAAAACTTACGTAAGGAAAGGGTAATTTACTCTGTGCTGAGGTTAGAAAAGCTCTGTATTCAGAGAAAACAAGACGCGTGATGCGCGATGACCAACCCCTCTTGTTGACTTGGCGCTCTCACATTGGAGTATTTTGCCTTTTGCTTGTTTTTATGTATTACTGATAAAGAGTAGGGCTCATATTACTAAGGAAAAGTATTTAGGCATTACTGATGTTCATAATTGTTTTTGAAACTGCGCATCAGTGAGATTAAACAAAGACAAGCGGCTGTTTCGTCGGGAACACCGTACTGCGCCGCCGCGCGCGTCCCGGGCAGGCAGCGCATCGCGCGGATCTGCCTCAGAGCAGCCGGCTCCCCGTCCCCCGATGGTTTTTCCCGTTTCACGCTTTAAATATCGATCCCACAGAAAAATTCATAAGAACTATTTTCGTTCTTAATAAAATTTCCCATCGTCTTGCTGTAAAAAAATTACGCCAACATTAGCCAATCAGTAGTCATTCAAAATTCAAAATTTGGGGGCCCCTGCCCCCCCCCCCCAGGGAGCTCAGATTTTTGGGGTCTACGTCTAAATCGAATGCCTATAGGGTAGAGATGAATCCCTGAAATTTTCATGCTTTCTTTTAGAAGTGCACGATTCTCATGATATTTTCCACTTATCGGCCCCTCTAAATATCTCAAGGTAGTAATCAGCCTGTAGACTGATGTACTAGTCTGTTTAATTATGATGTACTGGACTATTAGTTCAGAATTTCTTAATTTTAGCATATAAAAAATTAAAAATTAGCAACGCTGCACAGCCTAAATGAGTTGTCACTTCAAGTTGAAACTTGGCCTGGAAGTTTGCCTTACGATAAGCTTGACAGCCTTGTCATTTTTTCAGCCCTGTCCTGTTGACCAACTTGGGTATGAAGAAAAAAAAGGCGAAACTTGGCGAGGCTCTGCCATCCGAAAGTAATGAAAAAAACCTTGACATAAGAGTAGAGGAGAAGAGCAAAGCATCAGAAAATGTATTACAGACGTACAGCCCTGCGTTATGGATACGTTGAGAAAGAATGCAGAGTCAAAATATGCAATTTTTACAGTTAAGTTTATTTTGAACGACCCCTTTCTGACTTTGATGATCCTTGGAGAAAA